TACAGGCCCGCTAGCACAAACAGGGCACACTTACACTCTCTCGAACTAACCCTCGACATCGTACAGGCCCTGAACAGCTGACTCAAGAGTGGACACCAACTCCAGACTTGGCCAGCGCAACCAATTGACAGAGCAATGCGATCAAGAAGCTCGCCCAAATGTGTCGTTAACCGTAACCACCAAAGAATCAGAATACGACTGGGAAATTGTTTATGACTACCGAACACTTAATGAATTACTGAGAATAACTGCAACATGCATTAGATTCATCGTGTGCCTAAGGGGAAAACGCCCTTCATCAAACCAACTGACACATACTGAAATAGATCTGGCAAGAACACAGTGGCTAAGATTGACACAAAACACATACCATTGTCAGGAATTACGAGCAATGCGAACCACAGGATTACCCTCATCTCACGCCTTTCATCGACTCACGCCCTACATAGATGCTCACTGAATCATACGAGCGGGGGACGATTAATGAATGCATCAATATCAAAGAATAAAAAACATCCAGCCATCCTTCCAAAGCTATCACAATTTACAAAACTCATCATCGAACAAGCACATCTCAAAACATTGCACGGAGGCACCCAGATCACACTATCATATACCCGACAACATTACTGGATTATAGGAGGGCAATCTGCTGTAAAATCACACGTATATCAAATATACTTGCACAAAACAACGAAGGATTCGCGCCAATGAATTAATACGACAACTACCCTTACCAAGAGTAACGCCTTCGCGACAATTCACCCACACTGGAGTGGATTATGCTTGTCCCCTTACCATAAGGACAAGGCCTGGATTCAAAATGGGCATTGTCCTGGGCCAAAATGTCTGGGATCAGACTAAAAGCTTCCCTGAGATGTTGAGGGGAGGCTTGCTGGCATGTGGAATGGACAATGTAATAATTCAACACTGCCTTTATCTGAGTTGGTTTTACTTTTATTGAATATAATGATATAATAAACAATCAGTGGTCTATTGAGGTGAGATTGAATGAATGATACAATGAATAGGTGAGAGTTTCTTCAGGTAATATGAGTGATGATAATCTTGTAAGTGTATTCTTGATGTGGCGCCTGATTCTCCTACTCATGGTTAGGACTTGTAGTGGTAGTGGGAGATGCGCTGATGAAGGACAATGATGCCGTGGTCTAGGTATTGCTGCTTACTTAGTTCACAGAGCCGTGTGTTAGTGATTCGTAAGAAGGTGTGTAATAACGCAGCTTACGTATGGAGTCGATCTCGGTGCATTGATGGAACGTAAGGACGTGTG